CACTTTGTGGGTTGGAAGTTGTCAATAGAACAATGATGTTTGAGGTATTCTCCGACCTTTTGACCTTTTCCTCAATTGCAATTTGATGAGACCTTTTTAGAATCTTTCATAGTGTCAAAATGGACGAGCAAGTCTAGAGTCTTTTATGTTTTCGGCTCGATGTACAGGTTGAATTTGACTGGTTTGATTCATTAATATTAATCCAAACTTGAATTAATATATTCTTATTTGCATATTTTTAGTTTGAGTAAGTTTGATTTCCATGTGTCCATGTGAGCACGGGAAATAAGACTTCAAAAGTTATATAATATTTTAAAGCTAATCATATAACCAAGATGTAAGTAGCCAAACTTGTACAGATACTTGCATAGAAAGGTTTAAATCGATTAATGGTATAAATAAAAACTTTTTAAATGTAATAATATATAGTTAATCCAACGAGAAATATAATTGTAGAAACGGACGAAAACGATGACGAAGAACAGGAAAAATGAAGTTGAGAGAATTTTTGATGCAGTCCAGTCGACCGCGGAGCAAGTCCGGTCGACCGGAAACGTGCACACTACAGGGGTATTCGTTTGGCCTTTTGTTCGGACGATCGCGAGGATAGGTCGGTCGACGGAGAACTCTGTCCGGTCGACCGGACGACATTGTCAGTCGACCGAAACCCTGTAATTGATTTTGTTGAGATTTCGTGTTTCTGGCCGGTCGATCGGGGCAATATGTCGGTCGACCGGATCGTGATTTTGGTCTCAGTTTTAGTTTCCTGATTAGGTTGGGTTTCTGTTTTGATATAAATAGAAACACACGTTTTAGGGTTTCTTTGGGTGAGTTTTTTAGGGATATTTGGAGCACAGAAAAGAGTCTTTTCTGGAGCTATTGGTTAGGGTTTTGTTTGAGAGACTGAGAGTTTTGTGTGAGAGATTAGTTTGTGGATTTGTAATCTCTATTTGTACTCATCTTCTCTATTAGTGAAAACACATTTCCTTCTTGTCCCGTGGACGTAGGCAACTTGCCGAACCACGTAAAATTCGATTGTTTGTGTTTGTGCCGTTAGTTTGGATTGTTTGGCTTTTTCTCTCGGCATTGGTATTTGTTATCGGCACCCCATCGGTTTGGCCGTCGCGCACAACAATAATATTAATTTATATTATGGATGAAATAAAAGGTGAATACAGTGTAATGGTATAAAATATAACTCTCAATTCTTATCATAACTTTTGAATTTTAGTGTAATGGAAAAGATTTTTAACATAGTAACAGAGTAATCTAAGTTAAAACTCCCACAACCACAAATTTAAAGCCGGATTTAAAAATTTGAGATGAAGTGACTAATGAACAAGTCATATTTTCGATCAGCTACTATGCAACTGTTCCATTTTGTCTCAAATTTGAAACAAATTGGTTCTAACTTTGCTTGTCCTTTGGGATGAGGATTGTTGCTAGTTATTACCCAGGATTCATAAGGCGCCCATCGTCAAGGCATTACCTCATCTAATTTGTCACTAGTGCTTGATTATGATACAATCAAAAGACTAAAAAAATATTAAAAATGGGAAACGCAAACTTTTTTGCATTTTAATATTTTGCCGTATAAGTCGTGTGTTAAACTTCGTAAAGAAATGCACGTTATTTACGGATCGAGGTTTGCCATCAAAAGTAAAATATTATATATATGGACAAATATCATATATATGGTACATTGTCCAGTACCAGGTATGGTGAATTCTTAAGCCAAGAACCTAAAGTCAAGCTGTACACAAAATATGTTTTGTATTTACTAGGGCCCGTTAAATTAATGTTTTCTTTTTCAAATTTAAATGATGCCTACAATTTTTGTCTTAAGAGATTATATAAATCAAAGCATGGTTGTTAATTTCTTTTCTTTTCCTCGATCTTTAGTAATCCTTGTTATTTGACTAACAATATATATATCTTTTATTAAATACTTTTGATCTGCAATTTGAGACTTGGCAGTGCTGAAAAAATAAATCATTTTATTCATGATTTGTCGAATAGATATCTCTGGACCATTATATTAAACCTTTGTTTTGTAAAAAAAGAAATTATTAATCAAGTTTACTTCTCTTTATTGTTCAAGTTCCTCTACAAATGCTTTCTGATCTTCCCATTCTTCTCTCAGGCGCTGTTTGATTCACTGCAATTGTAATTACGTGCAAGGTAACTTCTGTTTGCATGTAGTAGTGCTTTCTATAACTATTGCTGCATGCACTTGTAAATATTGATGATCGGTTCAATATTAAAAAAAAATTGAATCTTTCAGCAGCAATTTCAGTTTTAGATACAGAAGTTCGTTAATTAGGGTATCAAGGTCTTCATTTCTGCTGGAAGTTGATAAAAAACCAGAGTTAGTCATAATGAAACAGATGAACCGCCGCAGATAACACGAGTATGTCATTCATTCACCATTCCCCTACGCTCGCTGTTCCTACTTTCAAACTTCCATCAGTATTGTACGCACTTTGACTTTTGTAGTACATTTATATTCAAAAGTCAACTAGGTGGTGGCTGTTTTTTTTTCCGCCTTCTTTTTTTTCATTTTTTTTTTTTATTGGGAGGGGTTGAGAGGAATTAAGAAAGGAGTTTCCAAAACATTTTTGGACCGCTATATTTATTTAATTATATCTTCAAATGTCTGTGTACGTTGTATGATTCGAGAGTTATCATTTTTTGAGCCATCAACTGCGAAATAGTTAATGTTTGTGCATTAATGATGTACTCCAAACTTTTCTACTTGCGGTAACCTCAGAAACGTATACATTCTTTCAATCACCAAGTACTGTCCAGTAGATATAATCAAAATTGACATCAAGCTTGGTGAAGCATCGCCTTCAGTACTAAACAGACACGATTAGTACCAAACTGAGATGCTTGAAAAAAAAAAAAAGGGACTCAATAAGAGCCCGCCACATGATCACAGCGCCATAACGATGCCAGTTTAGAATCACATGAAAACCCTAGTTCCTAAGCACGGATCGACCGAGTTTGGACAAAACAAAACAAATTTTGATTCCAGATCGTGGAATCTCAGTGATCTACATAATTAAACAAAGCATCAAGTGGCCATGTACTACTTTTATCCTCACTTGCCTCCTGTGTCAATTAATATTAATTATTGAGAGCCAATGCCCCTACCTCTCATGATTTGGGATTGCTCCAACTCATGTCATTTAATGGGAAAAAAAAAGAATAACTCCTTCCCACGTTCATGCAAGGAATAAAAAACACCAAGAAAATCCCCCACTAGACAACAATACAAGCTTGCAACAGCTGAGATTCTCTCTCTCTCTCTCTCTCTCTCTCTCTCTCTCTACTTTGTTTTATCCTCAACGAACAAAGAATCAGAAGCATCCTTCCATGTGAGCCTAACCCCTTAATCTTTTTTTTTTTTTTTTTTTTTTTGAACAAAGCCTAACCCCTTTAACAACCTAATCGCCCTAAAATTGTTTATACCATGTACTTATGCAATCATAATGGTCCCCTTTCTCTAATGCTGATGACATGTAGTCCTTGAGGTGATTAATTAAACTAACAGCATCCAAGGGGCGTGCTAAGCTCACAACTCGCACCCTTGTACGCCCCGCGCGCCATCGTCTGCTAATGACGTATCAACCTGACATTATTTGCTAATCAACTTGCAAGTTTATCTACGTGTATATATTTATTAGTACTAACGGATATTGTACGTTTTACTCGTCACGTCTAGTTAAATGAGACGATCAAAATTGTTACTAGGATTAAAGGCAGAAGAGAGGAGCGAGCAATGAAAATAATCACTTTGGAATTAAATAAAACATGTGGTTCAATAATGTAAGAAGCTTCGTATCATCGGGAATCCCAACTGTTAGTTGGGCGGAGATGGCGAGCGTCGAGAGTACACCTCGAGAACATGGAAGCCCTCAATAATAAAGTGTACGTGAATTTGGGAAAACCCAAATCCAAAGTTTTTCCTCCTCCATATTTGAGAGTGATGGTTATATTGGAGTGAGAGGAGATGATGATGAGCGTCGAGAAGTGTGCGCGTGGTCCTCATCCACAAGCGAGCTAAATAGTAGGGGGGGAGGGACTTTACGTCCAATGCGAGCTTTAGTGAGATTTAACAAGCATCACAAATTAATCAAGGGCAGAAGATTTACATACTCTTGATTGAAAATGTCCATGCTCTTAAATATATCATGAGCACCCGCCATGGGTGACCCGGGCAGTCGTGAAGTTTCAATATGGCTTTTATGATCTTAGATATGGTTATTGTAAATAAAAGAAAAGGGGAAAAAAATAAACACCGAGATCGAACAAAGCTTCTCAAGTATTTGAAGTGGACTGCATGATTAGTTACATCATTCTCGAATATTTCTAGGACCAGTTGCACGGTTTCCATACTTGATCATTTAAACCAGAGATGGTTTGAACATAGCTTATATCTAGACTAGAGCTTTGATGGAAACTAGTCAATTCTACACTCTTCTACTCTCAAAATTCAAAACAAACACATAGTGGCACACAGTTAATGATGATTTCTCACATATTACTTGCGTTGAGGAGATTAACATTACGAGAACTAACTACGGATTCCATCCTTCCCTTTTCTTGGTAAATACAATCTTCTGGAAGTTCAACTGAAATTCTAAAAATCGTTCTAGGGAATAACTATCAAAAGCACAAGTACCTGAGATTCAAATAAAATAAAATAAAATAAACTTCAAAAGTTTTTCATTGTTCATTCTAATTAGACCGACTCCTGCCGCAACCAATCAGCATTTCGTACCATTCATTTACGAAAGCTTCCTTTTCGAAAAGACCTTCATGGGCTAAGGCCCATTTTCTTGAGCCGGGCTCTAACTAGCCCACAGAACTCACTCACTAATTTATGGTAGTACATTGATAAGATCATGGTTGCTGTGTGCTTCCCACATTCAGAGGAGGGGAATTCCTCCACCACTGATGAATGAACCTGGCCAGTCTCAGTACATTTCCACATCAACAGAAAACATAGGTCTCTCTTTTTAGCTAGGCACTAGGCCACAAATGGACTTTGATAAAAGGCCAACTATTCTGTAACAATCATTGCCTTGCGATTAATGGCGTTTGGAAATATTCTTGTAGTAAGTTTTACCTTTTGTAACACAACAATCCCCATCTGGTGTCAGATTTCTACTCGTCAACAATAAGCAAAACAGTTATTTTCAATTTAAGAATGGCAGTCAAAGTCTTAACACGTACTCTTCCGAGATACGACTAATGAGAGCTAATCATCTTTTCTTTCTTCAGGGTCCTAGATTCTGAGAGAACCAGCAGCATTCATTTGGCAAGCGGCAACATCCACTGATACTTATCCAATTGTGACATCTAAAACTTTACAAAAGTTAGTCAAGGGAAAACAAAAAAAAAAGAACTCAATCTAGGAAAATAAACTGCATAAATTTATGGGGGCGAAAAACATAATAGGTTATGTTTAGCAAACCCTTAAAATACTGGGTCAGGATCAATCATGACCTAGTTTTATCCTAGTCTAGGGTTAAAGCAGGAGGTTGCTCCCACGACGAACAAGTTTAAAGGTCACTTCTTGGCCTAAACACTAACCAGTTTTTCCCAAAGACAGTTTTTTTTTTCAATAATGGGGTCATTACGATCAATCCTGACCCCGTTTCGTGTAGTTGCCAAACACATCCTCGGGATATGATTAAACCCCGTCGCCCGTGGTTAAAGAAAGAACAGATGTCACACCATAAAAAGAAAAGGCAAGAGGAGAGCGAACGGGTGTAGAGTCTCAATCAACATGCAATGGTGTCATGGCCTTATTCCCGACAATTTGCTCTTGCAGTCAAAACTAATGAAAAATTGCACATGGACCGCATGATTTTGACTGGATGGATACGATAAGATGTATCAAAGGTTTAGTTCAAAAAGGATGTATCAAACAGCGCAAAAGCTTATGTGTAGGGGGGAAAGGTAGTGATACCCCTATATTTACTCTCTTTTCTCTCCCAGAGCAAAATCTAGTATTGTGGACACCACTCTACTTGAAGGCAGTTTTCTCAGAGAGAATGATGAGTTTGGTACATGGAAGAACAGAAGGATGGACAGAGAATGACCATGCATTAACAGAGCCAGATCCCCCTCCCTCGTGAGGAAAAAGCCACAGACACAGAGATATCAAATCCAAAGTAGCAGGAAGCCACTCCTGTTCAAAATGCTCATTGACATCACTATCCATACTCCTCTCCTCTTCCCTCTTCAAAAGTGTTTACTAACTAGTGGTGGTCATTCTCAACACCCAGTGCATTCACATGGATGAATGTCCTTATTCCTACTCCAATTTGGATTATTGGGTTCCAAAAGAACAATATCAAAGACATTGAATTCTACCTTTTGGCAGCAGTAAGCAACTAAGCATAGGGGGGCAAACCATATCTTTGATCACCATCTATAAGTTCAAGTGACAGAAACGGAAGATTTCTGTGTAGTGACAAACTCGTGATGCAGAATCGAAGAATAAACTCTAAAAATTACAAAACAATTAACAGAAATGGGAAAACAATAGGCACCTTTGTTCTTTTCCTGGGGCTTTGCAGTTGTATTTATGCGCCAAGGGCTGAGTTCATTAGGTGATTATCTGCTCGAGTGAAAGCATCCAAAACAGGCTGACATGGGGTAGCTGCCGGTTCTGCAACTCCTCACAATACAGATTACACTGAAATATGACTTTAGATATGAACTTTGCGCGTTAGTCTTTTTCTATAAATCTGCTGCAGACAAAAAAGACATAAGAATGTCATTTGCAATTTGATTGAAGAATGTGATTCCAAAGATAAGTGCGAAATAAATAAAGTGTTAGGTGCATCCGTATATCTGTAAGGTCCTTTAAAGTCTTGCTGTATCACACTGCAAGGTTCTTTAAAATTTTCTATCTTGCATGCACACAACGAAAAAATTAATAAGCAGAGATGTTAAATTGATACACGAACTAATTAATGTAATCTGTCACAAGAGAGAGAGAGAGAGAGAGAGAGAGAGAGAGAGATTAATCATAAATACAGTACAATTGGTAATAAGGATATGTTCCTATATATGTGGCCAAGAGTGCATGCATGTGACAGAAGACAAATATTAGAGACAAATGTACCCAACAAGAGATGCTCTTGAAGAATTTGAAATCTTGACATATAATCCAAATCATTAGGCAGAAGCACCCCAAAAGGAGAAAAACGGTAATTTTACCAAAATATAGAAAGAGGGTGAAAACGTTGAGAAATAGAGAGTAGAATAAAAAAGAAACTAGAAATGGGTTAAGTTGTTGCTTGGCAACTGATTAGGGCATGGGCCAGAGGGTTTTATATTGTCTTCAATCTCTGAAACACAAAAGTGAAACTCAACTGGAGGGGCTCTACCCCATAACAAACCTGCCAAATAGAAACAATTGACATCCAAAACTAGGTAACCCATGCAACTGGGCAGAGAACTTACAACTCCACTTTTATAGCAATGTTATAACCCTTTATCCATCTAGACGATCTCAAAAGAATAAACATTACTTTAACCTTTTATATCATACTTTCAAAGAGAGACTAATGAGATCAAACTGACTATTGAAAATTATATTAATAAAGTGTCACATGCCACAAAATAAGCACACACAACTACATCTAAACCTGTAATCCAGAACCCTACTTCGCACTTAATTTATCATAATGATGCACGGAAGCAAAAATAATGCTCTTGGTGCAAAACAAGGGTTTAAGTCAAAGAAGACGGAAAGCATTCAGTTGGGTTTCCATGAATGTTTGATTCATCCAATTTTCTTTTAGATCAGTGAGAAATCATAATAAAATATAGCTTTCCTCCTTGAAATCATGCTCAGGCTCAGCATGTAAAGTACTTAGTTCCACCTATTTTATTTAATTATAACATATACAGAAGATTTCCACAATTTACTCGCATATCCACATAAGGTTTGCGCTTGTAATCTGGTTTAAGAGTCCCTAAAAAATTCATACCAGACATTAGAATAACTCATATATCATTAGAGAATAATGTAATAAACATGCAATATCATATATTAAGGTATTAAGCCAATATTAGTTGATGGTGTCAACCGATGCAGCTAACCAATAATGAGCAGCCAACCAATAATGAGCACCAAACCAAATTTTATCATATAGTTCAATTTTTTTCATTAGGCCACACTGACATGCAAAACTATAGCAGTGAGTTCAATGAGAGAAGACCTTCATTAGCTTTTCGTACAAAAAATAATGAGGTAAGCTTTAGAAGAAAAGGAAGATACAATTCCCCACACTTACTAAATTCAGAGTATCACTGGGAAAAATGAAAAAGAAAGAGGAATGACGGAGTGTTTGGTTATGTATAACAGTGCCCTATTAGGTATTTCCTTTAACATAAGTAAATAATAATAAATTCATTCACAATCAGATGAACCAGACATGTGAAACCATAGAAAACAACAGATGACCTGAACAAGAATCCAGAATAGACTTAAAACCACAGTCAGAATTTGCTTTCAACAATTAACTTCTATATATTAACTACAAAGTTCATTATTATTCGGAAACAATGAAATACCATTATGTATACAGATAGATAGTAATTGCATTCCAACTCGGGCAAGGCCTAACCTCATCAATGCCCAGGTTTTGTTTTTCAACATCTCAGGTTCAGTTGGCTGGAAATGAAGTAACTAGGGATGATAGTAAGTTAGGATCACCCTCAAGGGGCCATGACACCTGTCCCAGGCACCCTAAAATTAGATTTAAGTAAACTTATAGGCTCATCAGATTCCAGGGTCTGCCTAAAACAGAGCCTTCATTGCCCAGGTTTGACAGGATTATTTGGAGGCCCTCTTGAATCCATCCTCTCAATGACTCAAGCTAATGAAGTTTTTGTTCATTTTCTAACTAACCCAATGTTGGTCAAATATTTCAGCCACCGAAAGGGGGCAGCCATTTTTGACAAAATGGAAAAGCCACCGAAAGATGAGAGAAGCGGACCCCAGAGCAAAGAAAAAATGTAGACGGGCCCCACCGCGGATAAAATATTAGTGCATAGTGTTTTCCCAAATACTATAAATAGACCTCAAACCCTTAAGGAAAATCTCATCCCAAAAACAACTCCTCTTATAGAAAAGTAAGAGAGAGAAAAGAAAGGCTTAGAGAAAAGTCCTTGTGAGAGAAAATTGTGAGCAATTTTCAAAGTGAGATTGGGTTGTGAGTTTGAGTGTGAAAAACTTTGAGTGGTTTGTAAAATTTCTCCCCTTTAGTGAAAGATCTGCAGCAGCCCGTGGACGTAGGCAAGTTTGTGCCGAACCACATAAATCTTGCGTGTCCCCTTTTTTTGCGCATTTATTTCGCTCTCTTAAATCTGGTAATAGGGAAATCTGAATAATTTCCCAACAACTGGTATCAGAGCACTGGTTGTGACGTCTGACAATTTTCTGTGAGATTACTATTCACGTAAATAGTGAATTTTGTGAATAGTAAAATTTTACCGGCGATACCGACTTGTCGGGAGAGGTGTCTTAATACACGGTGGTTCGCAAAAATTGTCAAAAACAATCTAGAGGAAGCCAGATTCGAGTGGGAGCGATGGCTGCAGATGAAGGGAAGGTTAAAATTGAAAAGTTCGATTGTGCGGACTTTGGCTTTTGGAAGATGCAGATTGAAGATTATCTGTACCAGAAAAAGCTGTATCAACCTCTCAGGAAGTAAGCCAGATGACATAAAGGATGAAGAGTAGGCTCTCCTCGACAGACAAGCCCTTGGAGTTATCCGATTGACGCTATCCCGCAACGTTGCCTTTAACATAGCAAAAGAAAATACCACGGCGGGTCTTATGACGGCTCTCTACAGCATGTATGAGAAGCCCTCTGCCTCAAACAAAATTCACTTGATGAGGCGGCTAATCAATTTGCGAATGTCGGAAGGCGCATCTACAGCTCAACATCTCAATGAACTCAACATAGTCACAACCCAGTTGAGTTCAGTTGGGATTGAATTTGATGAAGAAGTAAGAGCATTGATACTTCTTTCTTCTCTACCAGAAAGCTGGAACGCTACAGTCACAGCTGTAAGTAGCTCATCGGGAAGTAACAAGTTGAAGTTCGATGACGTTCGTGATCTGGTTCTTAGTGAAGAAATTCGGCAGAGAGAATCAGGTAAAGCTTCAACCTCCTCAGCTTTACACACGGAATCTAGGGGAAGAACTTCAGAAAGAAGTTCAAATCACAGCAGATTAAAATCTAGAACAAGCAAATCTAGATCGGGAAAGAAAGATTTCAAGTGCTACAATTGTGACAAGAAGGGTTATTTCAAGAGGGAGTGCCGGGCACCGAAGAAAAATACCGACGCACAGGAGTCTGCCAACGTGATCGAGGAAGGAGGTGATGCTATGATTCTAAGAGTCAACAGTCCGATTGAATCATGGATTCTTGATTCAGGGACATCCTTCCATTCCACCCCATGCCGAGAAATCATGGAGAACAACGTCAGCGGTGATTTCGGAAAGGTACATCTAGCAGATAATGAAACCTTGAAGATTGTTGGCAAGGGAGACATCCGATTAAAATTGTCAAATCAGACCACATGGAAGCTGCAATGAGTGAGATATATTCCTGATCTTAGAAGAAATTTGATCTCTGTGGGACAGCTTAATGGAGAGGGTTATTGTACAACCTTCTCGGATCATGAATGGAAGATTACCAAAGGAGCACTCATCATTGCTCGAGGTAAGAAAAATAGTACTATAACCTCTAACTTAGGGGAGGTTAGTCACCTAGAACTTTTTAAGTAGAACTGAGATAATTGGTAAAGTAGGATAATTTTTTAACACTGGGATAATTTAGTAGAACAATGATGGATAATTCTTGAATGAGATAATTTAATAGGATAATTTGGTGGGATAATAGTGAATAATATTATGAAGTTGCATAATTTGGTAGGATAATTTGATGGGGGTAATAGTGGGTATAAATTACTATTATTAATAATTGTATATTAAAAATAATATAAGATTGATAAGCAATTGATTAGTCTAGTAATAACTATAAAATATAATGCAATAAAACATCATTATTCATCTCAAATAATAAAATATTTTACAACTAAATAAAAATAGAAGGGAAATGCATGTGTACACAAAATTAATTAAGTTATATGGCTAATTTCATGGCCCAACTCCGTGAGTTGTCAATGAACAACTTCTTGGGTTAAAATAGAACTACGTTTACATCTAATTAATAATATGTACATGATCATTCACTACAATTTTCTTGTATTAGTCTAGACTACCGATGCAAATAGAAGGTTGAAACTATGGATGAGTTATCATTACAAATTCTAATTGGGCAGGATAGTTTTTTTCGATCTGGTTAAAAAATGAAGAAATCCAAGTACCTACAAGCTTTTGAAAAAAAGGCAATGGCTATCACAGGCTAAGTTTTGATGGCTCATGTGCACACACTTGATGAAAATAGACAATTTTGCTCTTTTACCCAAATAAAAAAAATCAAAATCCAAACCACTATATACTTATGCCATCGCTAGATCATTGTTTAACCATAAGATATCCACATTAATCTTGTCAAAATCGTATATAATCGTTGTTTAAAATTCAAAGCACTGTAAAGGTCTGATCGTTGTTACGGTGGTACGTACCTGAGTTCGTGGACGACGCCGGAGGGGTTGATGAAGTCGGAGAAGATGACACCACGGAGATGATGCACTATAAGTGCTAT